TTGGCACCAATCATTATCCGTACATCGGCATCCAAATTGTGCCAACCTTCAAGTTTAAATTGATTTATTAAATATGAGAACCGAAACAGTTTCAAAATAATTATTCTGAGACTGGAGAAAAAATCATTTCTGAAATGCCAACAGCCTGGCTACTAGGAAATGCAACACTGATTAAAGCAAATAGAAAAGTTGCCAGCTGCATAATTCGAGAACTAGATCATAAATTAACAGCTGATCCAGGCGCATTTACCTCGATCCACAAATTTTAGGATCTTATTCACCGACAAACTCAGAAAATCGAAGAAGCGCAATCTTGCCAATTTTATTTTTTGCAAATTCAGATTTTCCTAAATCATTTTAACCAATCTAAATTGCCAGTAACAGGCATTTGCAATTATTATTTTTGTTATATGAAAACTTGAAATTTTCTTGGCTGTTAGTCTATCACTGATTTATATCCGGAACGTTCGCCAGTGGCGCAGCCAACAGCCATACCATCGATTTCGGTCATGAGTTATTTCTGTTTTTGAAAAAAAAAAAAAAGGATTGGTTTGGATTTATAAAGAGCTGTAGCGTATCTATATGGTAAATCCACACCACGCGTCTTAGTGATTGTGATTTTGGATCACTTGTATCAATGTATCGGCTCGAAACAGTCTCGCAGGAAAAGATATTTTAAAAATGATTACCCTTTTATTATCACAACTATCAGTCCGACTTTTAATCAAAAGCAAACGAATCGTGATTCATGATTCGAATCACGAGCCGTGATTTCTGTGTCGAAAAAGTAGACTGGATCGTGGTTTTTCCATCAAAAATTTTTCAACATACCGTAAATGAAGAAAACAACAATAAATAGGAATAACTGAGTGATTGCAGACTGTGATGCATATTGAAGCAATGTGCCGAGCGACGTACCCATCTAAAAAAAGCTCGGACATTTTTTTGTTTTTTCTAAAAACTGTTTCCGACGGAAATCACTTCGCTGCGGCAGTATCTTTTCTAGATTTGGACCAATTGCCCTTTATCCGAAAGCGAGAAATCAACTGCTTCTACAGTATGAAAAATAACTATTGCGACAGCGTAATTTTCAAGAGTCCGGCAAAAGGAGCATTTCAACATAAACTTACAGAACGGTCTGCTACTTTCATTTTCCGTATTTTCTCTTTCTTAGAAAACTGGAACAAACTGGAGCTAGATAACCCCGTTCACATCATTTAAATGAACTGCTCTCTACAAAAATGGAGGCAGTTGGGAAACAGTCTGAATGGTAGCAAATGCCAAAAGCAACCACTCGCTGGCAAATCAGCCAAGAGCCCTCACTTTCGAGAGTTGCCCAGGAGGTAAGTAATGGAGGGTTTACCCAGTTGACATGCGCACCCGTGACAATTTACCGTCTAGACAAATTGAAGAAACGTAGAACGATTGGTTTTTTCCACTGATGGAGTTGAACTACAGTTGTTCGGTTTGTAACTAGCCCTGCCTTATACTATTATCAAATTCGTCAGTCAAAAAGCGCTACTATGGAATTTTTGCAGCAGCTGCGGATTTGAAATACTTGGATCGATTGTAACCGGTCAGCTGGTTTCCCATCTATGCGGCTAACAACTTTTTTATTTGCTTTGACCAGTGCTGCATCAGCTGGTGGTCAACCAAACGGTCATCCTCAAATTCGTTCCATTTCATGAAGAGATTATGAGCACAGCAGTTCGCCCTACAAAAGCGGCTGATGGGGCTTTGAGAGTTTCGAGGCATCCTTGCATATATGTGGAGCATCATCGTCTCTTCCTAACGCTGTCAATCTTGGATCACGATGGTGTACTGGTGCTCTATCTTCGAGCGTTTTTTTTTTTCTAATTTAAGAGAAAACAGCGTCAATGCAGTGTTGATAACATATCATTAATTTTTCAAAAAGAAAAAATCAAATTGACCAACTGACAGGCATGCAAAGCAGTAGACCCGTTGTAGCAAACAGTGCACATAATAAAGCCAGAAGAAGCGTTGAAAAGCGCTCCACAAATGGAAATTGCTCCAAAAATGAGTTATAAATAAACAACAATAACACTACCTGTAATTCAAAGCAGTGATTCTAAATTGTCCTCTGGTATTTTGATCAGCGCTAGTTCATCATCTATTTCTCCAAATATATAAATTGTGTCGCGGGGTGAACTCTTTTTTTGCAAACCATATGGTGCACGAGCGAATCGATCCAATCATTTTCACTGTCTTCGGATCCTTCGAATCATGACATGTCCTAACGTTCATTACACTACCGACGGTCGCGTTCCACAGTTGGAGTGTGTATGTATGTATGCGTGCCACCAACATACCGATAAAACTTCGCGATTTCTAACGCTACAGCTACAAGCGGAGTATACTTTCCCAATTTTTGCAGGTTTTCGCGGCTATCTACTTCCAACAGCAATCAGCTTAGTTGCTTTGATCAACACTACTTGTCCTGGTATATTCCATCTGCTGGTGATCCGAACGTTCGTTTTTTCTCTTGAAGAAATTACCAACTCAGTTTGGTGATTTTCTCAACAGAAGCATTTGGCAAGGCTTTTTTGAGATGCAACTGATGTTCGTTGAGCATCACAGCATCATTCCTAGCATCACCAGGAAAGATATCAAACATGAACTGAGATGGGGAACCTTAAACATGAACTGAGATCAAACAT